CGCTCTCACCTTATTCTGATACTTTGAAATTCACTCAGACTTTTCTCTAAATATTTCACTATTAACGAGCTATTTTGACTCAGTTTCTCACTAGAATTATTTCAACAATCTCAGACACAGAGAAATCATCCCATCCATATTACTTCAAAATGGCCGTTCTATTTGATTTTATATATAAGAGTCAATGGTCTGCACTGTAAAGTAATGCACTCGAACGGTAACCACTAGGTTTTAGTTTCGTTTTTCATTTGTACTAAAAGAGTTTATCTAATCGAGATATTAGAAATTTTGAATACAAAATCTCTTGGATTTTCATCTCCGCGAGATTATTTCATCAAGAGCTTTTTTCTACTCTTCACTTGAAATGGTAGAGGCAAAAGACTCTGAGTACCAGTGAAACTTTGAAACAAATGATGAAGAACCAAAATGCTCGAGGCAATCAGATGATATTATAGTTACTGTTTGTCAGAAAATCAAAGTCAAATAAAGTTCAATCATCAATAAATATTGGAACAAAATCTATAAATGCTTGTATTTGGGTCAATTTTTGGTCAACTATTGGAAAAGATTAAAGCTTAAAAGAGGTAATAAGCTTAATCCAGTTGGAATAAATTGAAATAAAGTCCATTTAAAATACAATCAAAATATGAATTTATTAGAAATTATCAAGAATATTATTGATAATCAAATTTGATTGAAATTCTAAGCGAGAAAAAATCACAAACAATAAGAATAAACTGAATAATTGTCACCAACTATTCGTTGCTTAGTTAAATGTCATCATATTGTTAGATTCTTGCGTCTATTGAGCTCAGAATTTAGTTCGAAATCTGTTGAATTTCAATGAGATCGAGATAGAAATTCAAAAGTTTCCTTGCAAAACGATTGAATGAGCGATCAGAATTATTGAAAACTAAAAGTTCATGAAGATAAACTCTCAATGCCAAGGACGCCCTATGACTCTTTGTATATTTACATGGAAAATTTCCGCCGGATGTAGTTCAATTTCTCAAATTTGTATAGGTGAGTGGTCATCAGTTGGTCTATTATTAGCATTGTTTATGTAAACAAAAGGATCAAGTTTACGTTTCAATTGTAAACTAAAAGGTCAACTTTAGGACAATCATGCTGGTCAAGGCAAATGGATAATGGACAAAATAACAAGGATAATAAAAGATATTCAGGTAATTCAGGTTTTTTATTTTCTTAATTCAATTTCAATTTAAAATTTCCGAATTCTGTTGGAAAATTTCAAAACAAAAAAACTGAGACACAGAGAAAAAGCTCTATTCTTTTGCTAGTCCTGGTCAAAAGCCTTGACCACAACCTAATTTGGACTTTAAGAGTATATCTCAAAATGAATAATCGCCAAGGATGAAGTCTCAACAAGAAAAAAAAGCTTCTTACTTGACCACCGAGAGAAAAGCTATCGAAAGAGAATCGAGATTAGTGAATTCGAAAGAAAATTTTAAATACAAACAAAGTTCTGAAAAGATCTGGATAACTGAAGAGGGTATTCGATCCTCAAGCCTAAAGAGAACTTTTTTTTCTACCTCAATGATATATGAGTTAATGTCTATGTAACTTTCCTTTTCGTGTTCGTAAAAAAAATCCCATAGACTTTAATGCAAAATCTGAGTTTGTTTATTGTTTTCCTTTCAATCAACCTAAAGGTTTCGAGTTACAATTCAACATTTTCCCATGTAAACTTTTTCCATATCATGAAAAGCAAAGTTTACTCAAAGTCTTACATCTTATATTCATGTTGCTATCATTTTGTATCTATTTCCGTAAATATCATGTTTAAGATTCACAATCAGAATCATCATCAATCTGGTGGAGCAAAAAATCAGGCGAAACATTTAAATTGTAATGATTACGATTCAAATTGTTTGCTAATTTTAGAAAAATTTTCTTCTTCTTGTTACAATGTAATAAGAAGATGGTTAAGTTAATTGTAGAATAGCAATTAACTTGAATTCGAGTAATTAAGTGAACATCCCAACAACAGTTATCCCAAACTCTTGGTGGTTTTAATTCATGATGATGATGATGAAACTCATAATTTTCAAATTCTTCAAGTTTTTTTTGTATCTCCCTTCTGAATAAGAGATAACAATAAGAATCTGAATATTTTTCTGAACTTTTTTCATGTTCATCTCTTCATGTTGATCCGATTTAAAAAGTTTTACAATTGAAATCAATTTGAATGAGCAATTGAAGTTTAAGGTTTTTTTTTGCTTCCATCATACTTAAGGAAACAATTAGTTTAAATCACCATCAGAGTGAAATTTAATTTCACACACGAGTGATTTAATTTATCTCGTTAAACATAATCAATTTTAAAATCAAATTAAAAACAATCAGCTTCATCATTATCATTGTTATATAACAATAATAATATCAACTCCAAGTTAATTACAAAGTTTACTAATTAACAGGAAAGAGTAAGAAGGGAAAAAAATTTCCAAGCAAAAGTTAATCAAAAAGTTAACCAATTGTCATGATAATTTGAAAACGAAATGATCAACAGTGAATAATTTCAATCGCAATTAGTTGGTTATCATGATTACCAAAACAACAATTAGAATCAATGGTTAACTAATTGGGAAGATCAGTATCATCAAAGAAAATGATTCATATTTTTCATGGAAAAAATTTTCTCTTCGTTCTTTAGCTTCGAGTTGCTATTTGTTGTGAATTTTTCGGTGAAAATGACATGAGAGTGTCAAGAATCATGATTAAGATGGAGATGATGATGATGATGTTGATGACGAAATTGTTGATCATGTTGTTTAACTTGAAACTTGATGTGAAATGATGATGATGAGAGAGAGAGAGAGAGAGAGAGAGAGGAAGAGAAAAGAAAAATTCTCTCAGAGATTGAAACCAGAATGTTGTTGACATGGTGAAAGAAAAAAAAGTTCTTGATGACATGATACTTTTCATCCTCATGGTGTGTCAACATTTATTAACTTAAATTGTATCAACAGTTAATTGCTTCTGATTGTTGTTATTTACCAACCAGGAGAGAAGGCAGAAAATTATAACAACTCATCATGGTAACAATCAACAATCCGTAACAGTTAATTTATCATCAGGATGATTATTCATCATCCTCATAATCAGAACTTATCATTAAAACCTGAGTAATTTATTCATTCCCCAAATGATCAAGGTAATAGATCAATTCATTAGAGATCAATATTATTTCATCAGTAACAATATTTTTCCAAGTTCAATCATTCAAATTTCCTATTCAGAAATTTATAATCACCATGAATTATTCAAACACTAGTACACAAATACTAGCCAACGATTTAGTTTATCTCAATTTTGAAATCACAATATGAGCAAAAAAAAACGTTCTGATTGAATCAGATGAAATATTGTCCCTTTGATTGTTAATCTAATAACTTCATAAATCATCAATGATGATTATCAATTGTATTCAATAATCACCATGTTTACAGAGCGATATTAATACAATAGAGTCTTTCATCATCATGTAACTCAATCAGAATCATGATCAAATGTAATCAATGAGCTAAAAAAAGTTCTAGACAAAATGTAACCTCAATCAACAGAATCAATTGTATCTTTATTGATACAAAAAAAAGTTCTGACTGGTAAATAATCATTATCATTATTCTGATTCTTTGATAACTATTATATGTTTGTAATGGTTTAGCATATAATCATTATCAAAATTGTTAATGATCATTATGATGATGATGATGATGATTAGGTTGGGTAATAATCACAATATCTCACGATGGTGATAAATAGACACATTTGGGAGTCATATTATCATGTTTTCATCAATTTACTATCTAAAATCAGTAGACATCAAGTTCATCTAGCAAATAAAAAACAAAAATCAGCTGAAGGCTCATGTAGGTAATGTTGATGATGATGAATATAATAAATAACGTTCAGAATGCTGAGAAAACCTCTGGAGACCGAATATGAAACCAAAGAGTCATTCATAACTGTAGAATTTTCTCAGGCTTTGATTGGTTCACAAAAGGAGAAATTGAGAGAGAGAGAAAGAGAAAGAGAGAGAGAGGAAGTTATGAGATACTGATGATGATGAGAGATGAAGATAAGGCCGAAAAAGATACTCAAACGAATCACATTTCTGGTTAAAGTGAAGAAAATGTTTGCTTCGAACCTTGTACTCGAATATCGTATTTCAAAAGTGAAGAAGAAAAAAAAAGATAACCATAAGAAGATGATAAAAATGAAGATCAAGATTACGATATAAGAGAAAAAGGAAATTCTTCAATGTTACTTTACTCTTTCAACTCTTTTCCCTGAAAGTGGAATCTTATTATTTATCCTGAATCAACTTTCACAAGAAAATGGAGGAAATGTTGATAATATGATTGCACACTATCTGTTTCATTCAAAGAGAGAGAGAGAGAGAGAGAGAGAAAAAGGAAAGCAAAGATCTTGATAAGGTCAGAATGATAATGATAATGGTCAGTATAATGTCCATGAGATTGATAAGCTTTCAGGATACTTTGGGTCATAGGGACAAGATTTTTTTTTCCTTCTTCCATTCAAAACCCCTCTGAACTTATACTACCAAATACTAATTGAAGGTAACAAATTCATTGAGATAAAAGATTTGCAAATTCATTTATATTGATGTAATATATCAGGTAACTCAATTAGGGTGTGGTGGAAAGGGTTCAGATACAATTCCCTATGTTATTGGTGATACATAATAATATAAATACTTAAACATTGTTACTCTCCTACTTTTAGATTAACAGTTTATTAATTTAATTAGTTATTTCTTAGATCAGACATATGATATATCTGTTCAATGATAGATGTATCAGAAACTAGTTAAGTCTGTGTATTATATTGATTGATGAAAATTGACCAGGTAAGTTCAGTTGATTGTGATGATCACATTGTGAATTGTAATTAATGAGAAAGAGAGATGAATAATATATGTGTATATAGCTTAAATCAATTAATCAACTTACAGATTATGTTGATTTGATGGTTTGTTGATATACTTTTCCTTTGATGAGAAATACCTTCAGCCTTACAGGTAAAGATGACACTTGGTGTTCGGGTTGAAATTGTATAAGTTAAGGTTGATTTTATAATCCATCCATTGGTTGTGGGGTCGTTTTGAGTTTCAATTGTCGTTGGTGTGGTTATATTACCATCAACAAGCCAGGTAAGTAGAGGGGGTGGATTACCTGGACGGGTGATGCACTTTAGGTCAATCGTTTTATATAAACGGGTCTCACTTGGTCCAGTAATGGTCACTTTTGATGGTAAAACTTTAGAAAATTGAGAGAAAAATTAACCAATCGTTATTACACAATTCAAGGAACAGAACACAATTAATAATTAGTTAATTGCTTTACACACACACACACAACACCAAAGAGAGATAGACTAATGTATAGTTGGAAAGAAACAGCAACGAAATGAAAAACGAGGAAACGGAAACTTGAACTTATCATATTATCTAATCACCTTTTCCAATCAATCAGTTGATTAAATAAAAGCTATTACGATGAATGAATTAAGTGTTAATCTTTATTTGATTAAAGACTTTTTCTTTGCATAAATCTATTTGATTAAGATCCAAGGTTTAATCCATTTTTGTTGGTGGGAAATGTTTTCATCACTAATCTTTTAAAGTGATTAATTTATGGGGAAAAAAATTGATGATCATTGTGATTATAATAATTTGCATAATCAAATGTTATCAATGATTAATAATAAACTTCAATGCAATCAACCAGAAAATTAGGAAATAAGTTAATCTCTTTTATTAATCCAATCCAATTAATCAGTTTGTTTGTTTGATTTTTTTTTTGCTGTTTCGTTATTCTGATCCAGCAAATGAATTATTATCCTGACTATTAATTTAGATTGTCTTTTACACTATTAACCCTTTTGAGAGATTAAATTTAAATGATTGTTGAAGGTGATTTTTTATGCAGAGTGGGTTTTTCTCAGGGTGGGTTTTCAATGAACCTTTTTCAACATGAAGAGATACCATGGGTAAGAAAACTATTAGATTACAATTTATCAACAATAAAAGTCAAACTTATTGATGTTAATAGTTTTTACTTTGATGGTGGATGAGGAAATGGTTTGAATAGGATAAGGATGAGGATGGATAAAGTTTATCGGTGGTTTTTTTTCCTTATCATTGGTCAATATTATTTATGCTTGAAGAGGTTAAAGATATTTAGATTAATTTTGCCTGAAGATGAGGGTGGACCAAAAATGTTACACCATTTGACAAATTATTGGAGGATATTGGATGGGAATTCATTCATTCAAGATTTGGATGAACAGTAGGAGGAGTAGAAGGTGGAAGATGAGATGAGATGAGAATATATAAGGAAAAGGAGAGAGTGAAAGTAAAGTTCGAGATAAGTTCAAGGGCATGGGGAGAAAAGTTCTTATGGAATTGAATGTTCGTTGAATAAAAAGAGACACTATTCATCAAGATGAAGCTGAAAATTATTGAGATCCCTTTGGGAGGACGATTAATCTGAAAGTTGGAAGATGAAGATGAGGAATCTACATAACCAAAGATAAAGCAATTTGATAGAGAGAGAGAGAGAGAGAGAGAGAGAGAGAGAGAGAGAGAGAGAGAGAGAGAGAGAGACTAAGATGATGATATTGATACTTTTGAAGATGAAGAAGGGTCGAAAATAGTGAGAAGCTGAAGCAAAGATCATGAGTTGAGCCTTAACCGATTTGTTGTTGATGATAAACAGAAGGAGCTACATGGAGGGATTGAGATTCAAGGATCAGTAATGAGAGGATGAAGATGATGAGAATGTGAAAGGAAATGAATGGAAAAGGATAAATAGTGGTAACCATTGGCTTTGAAGAAAAATAAAAGACAGAGAGATAGAAAGAAATAGAGAGTCAGTTTGGGCTGCGGGAAGAAATGAAGATCTGATTCATTAAAACAAGAATGCTGAGATTTTGCAACTCAATGTATAATAAACTCTGTAAATTGGTTTGTTTAGGTTGTCTGGATTCATGGAATCAACAAATTTTGTGGTCTTGGTGATAGAAAGATGATAAATAAAGTGGAAAGAAAGAGAAAAGGAAAAATGAAGAGAAATCAAGTTCAATGGTTGAATTTAATTCAGTTCCAAAGGATATGAGATAATATTATTTAACGATTATGCTCAATATGGGTTAGCCAAATGAAAGGCAATCAAACGGAAGTGTTGATCAAAGTTGATTCTTTTGTGAGGGTGGAGGCGGAAGAAGGATAAAGAACATATTGAGAGAGAGAGAGAGAGAGAGAGAGAGAGAGAGAGAGATGTAGGGATTGAATTGAGGGAAAAATAGAAAGATGAGGAATTCATTGAATCGGAAATGGTATGTTGATGGAAAATAATTTCCATTGAGCATCGAGAATCAGAGGAAAAGCCAAAGAGTTTTATAAGAGGATAATTAACATTGTTTCAATGAGAGAAAAAGAATTTTTCGAAAAAAAAGTGGAATAAAAAAGTTCGAAGTTCGTTATCCTATCGAGTTCAATCTTCATCCACTGATTGGACAGTTTGAAGTTTGAAGTTTGGAGAAATGATAAAACAAAACAAAAACTTAGGGAAAATTGATGTAAGAGATTTCATCTAATTCAAATTGCATTAGAAGAGCTAACTGATTGTTACAATTAAAGGTAATCATCAATTAGAGTTACTTTTTCTGGTAACTTTGTTCAATAAGCTTAAACTGATAACCAAGAAGGTATATTGGTCAGTCTGTGATTGTGAAGGTCAATAGATAAGAAGAAGATAGTTTAATGATGTTAGATTAGATTAGAGGTTGATTTATTCACTGATAGAGATGATAATTGTTACATGAATGCTAATCAACATTCAAATAACCTTTCATTTGGAATCAAAGTTAACTATCTAATCTTTAGAAGCCACAACTTTCATCACCAAGATCAACGAGTAGACAGGATTCAACTGGATGACAAAATCTATCAGAACCTCAGTCTCTCTCTCTCAAAGATGAAATAATGTAACTTTGTTTTTCCCTCGGCGGTTCGTTGTCCATCATCATACAGGGCATTTCACCAAATTTTGAACTTTGAAATTTTGAATTTTGAAGTTTTTTTAACCCTTTGGTCTTGGGTATTCACACCAAAGAATTGACTTGTAGGAGTTTGGATGATAGCCAATCTTCAAATTCTGGTCATTTAATGGTCAAAAGTAATTCAGATTCAAAATATATTTCAACTTTGTCTATTGTTGTTAACCTACATGTTAAAGGTGAGGTCTAAAACTAAAAATTGATTAGAAACTTGGTTATATGTCCTGCACTTGTTTTGTTGTCCCTTTGGTCAAAATACTGACCATTTGGTTAATGATGATATTCAATGATAGTGATAATCAATTTTAAAGGCTCATCGTTTGTAAAAGTTAAACGGTTGATTTCAGTTAAGATAATCAAGTTATCTGTTAATCAGCAACAATCAAAGTAATCAAGATAATTGTTAATCTAATGTTAGAACTTGAATTTACAATAACCAATCGAATTGACTCTCTCTCTCTCTCTCTCTCTCTCTCTCTAATTTCCTCTTGCATATAAAGAAGAATAATCACAAATTAGGATTGTCAAGGGAAAGCTAATCAATTGATTTGATCAGAATAAGAAGGAAAATTTCTTGATGATATTAAAGAAATTAAGTTAATTGTTCAGTTGGTGCAAGTCAAAAATTGGAACTTTTTCACCGCCTATCCGACATTAAGAAACTTTTACCCTTAAATTATCTGGTAGATTTACAGATTAATGCTCAATGGAATCAATTAAATGAAATGATTGGACTTTCAATTTGCTGATTCATTGATTGTCAATTTAAAGTAATTATCAACAACAAACAAAAGTCAATGGCAATTTATTAATAACCGCCATTAAAAATTAGCATATTCATTGGATTAAAAGTAATCAAAGATTATTTCTTATTGTATAAACAGATATTAGATTATAATTTGATTAGATAATAATAATTAAATGCTGATTAGTTTATTGATTGGTGAGCAATTTAAAGTAATCAATCAACACAGTGAATGAGTGTGTGTTTAGTTTATGGGAAAAAAAAACTTTACTTACAGTTTATGTTTAACTTAATTGTTGCTTCTAATGGTTTAATTGTTAAATTACTTGTTACTGAGCATTTAAATATACTTTGATTATCTTCAATTGTTGGTGTAAAAGAATAGGTGTTAATTACATCTGATCGTGAATTAACATTGTAACTTTTATCAATTTCGAGTCCATTTCGAAGCCAATAAACTCGAGGATGTGGATAACCGCCTTTAGAGGTGCAGGTTAGAGTAACAGGATCACCTAACATGATAACTGATTCTGTTTCAGAATAACCTTCAATCAAGGGTGGACCTGGTTCATTGAAGATGTTGATCATTGATGAGGCACGAAGAGGTTTGGATAGACCTGGATGTTCAATCTCACAGGAATAAGTTCCCTCACTTTTGGGATACAAGATGATTGAACTTTCTGTTGTATAAAGAGTATATCGATTGGCGATCATCGATTTGTTATGATGAGTTCGAGAGGCCTCTGTATATATTCATAGAGATAAAGGGAAAGGAAGATGGCGAAAAAGAAAAACAAATATTATTGTATTAGATATAATAGAAAGATGATGAGGATGAGAATGAGAATGATGAGAATGTTATTCTTCATTGATTGTTTCCGGTTTTCTATTAATATCATCAATTGAAAACTGGATTTTCTATCCATGCCGATGGTTAGAATATCATTTTTTTCTCTGATGTTGAAAGTCAATTCGATTTCGAACAAACGAAACGAAACTTTTTTTATCGAATTTGCTTTTTTTTTGTTCTTTTCGACGAACTTTCCTATTATTAATTAGGAACAAACAAAGAAAAAGTTTTTCTTTTCTCTATTTCAATTCTTGAAACTCTATCACAACTCATTAATCAACTGACCAACTATCAATTTACTCTCTCATTTACTATCACAAGGCGGGAAAATTCAATGATTTGTTTAATTGGAATCAAATTAGAAGTTCAAGTTTTATCGCTTGGAACTTTCAACTCTTGATCAGATTATTCACTCAATCACTTGAACCTTAGAATCGGTAACATCATATTCGAAGACGAAGAAAAAAAATGTTCCAAAATCAATTGGGAATTCGAAGTTATTTCATCTTGATAGAAGAGAGAGAGAGAGAAAAAGAGTAATGTATTTATGTTGAAGACTCGAAGAGACTAATTAATGAATTGTTTCGACTTTTACTTCTCCCACTTTTCGAAAAGATGAATAAACATTATCAATTTATAACAGAATTTCAGGAGTTTCATGAGTTTTTCCACCACTAAATCCATCAGGAATTAAAGATAAAACTGAATCCATGTAGTCAGAAAATTGTCAAACATAATCAAGTGAAAAGAGAACCAAGAGAATGTAGAGAGAGAGAGAGAGAGAGAGAGAGAGAGAGAGAGAGAGAGAGAGATTCCAATCTTCAGAGAAGCTGAGAGTTTCCATCTCTCATTTTGACAACAATTAGAATCAAGCTCATCAATTGCATCCACCATCAGAAAAAATTTATAACAAAAGAAGAAAAAAAGTAAAAGATAAACTTTTAAATTGTTGGTTAATTGTTGCAATCCTGATAATGATAGTTATCTTAATGGTAACCAATTAATTGTGAAAATATTTTCCAAAGCAAGTTGATACTTTACTTAATCGATTAAGGCAACAAACAACAATCTATTATGTTTCCAATCCAAGAAGCTCATTCTTGTTATCATAATCATCGTCATGATATTGATCGTCTTTTTTACACTTTATCTTTCTCCTCTTCCTCTGTCATCCTCTAGTATTTTTTACCCTCCTCATCACTTTTATCATCCCGCTCTCTCTCCCTCTCTCCTCTCTCTCTCTCTCTCTCTCTCTCTCTTCCTATCGCCCTCATAGTCTTTCATAATTACGCCTCAAGAGGTTTCTCTTTAGGCTTGTGAGTGGTAAATAAAATAACGATTTACATGGATTAACTTTGATTGGTCACAATTGGGAATATATTTTTTTTGTCTACCACCCACTCCCACCCTTCATCCTCCCCAGCCATGTAATAATAACCATCACCATCATACTGATAACTTAATGATGCAATATTTTTTTCCCATCTCATATTTAGCTTATCATTTCATTTGCATTCTCAAGGTAATATTTGCATCTCTTTGCACTTTTCTGTCTCAATTGTCTCAAATGTACATGATATTTCATTCCGATAGGATTGTTCATGATTCTATGTATATATATTCATTATATACCCATGGATCTTCAGTAACTTTCCTCTAGTCGTCTCTATCTCTCTATTTCATCAACATGGTGTTGATTTTATTCTGAAATGAACTTATCATTCCCAGTGAACAGTAGGGAAGCTAAGAGTAAGTGAGAGAGACAGAGAGAAAGTTCTGAAATAATAATAATTGTGAATAGGATGAAAAATGAAAGATGAAGAGAAAAGAAAATAATAACTCTCACCTTTTCCTCATAGTTTTCAATGTACTTTCATCCTTTTTAGTATATATATTTATATATATTTCTTATCATCATCATCATCTTTTCATACAGAGATAATGGTGATTATGATGATAAAGAGACGAGGCTTGACAAAAAAATAGTAACTACTCAATGATATCAATTCATATCCCACCCACCAGCCTCGAGGGAGGTTGAAAATGATATATAAACACAATAAGGTTGAAAGATTGTAATCAAAAGGCTTATTTTTAGCTTGCAACGCTCAACATTTTGTTTACCTTTGCAGTTTCTTTCAGTTTTTTTTTTCTGTCACCATTCATGAGTCTATGGTAATATTATTATTTAATGTCATTCATTTCGTAAAACTTAGCTATTGTTATTTACTTGTTATCAAAATCTAAACAATGAACACTGATTAGTCTGAAAATGAGATTGCAATATATTAGGTGAGTGTAGAAATGATAATAATCTGGTAAGAAATGAGAGGAAAAAAAGATTGAGGAAAAATCATAAATAATGTGTACTCAGTTTAAGGAATAGGGATGATAAGTGATGAGAAAACTTCTAAGGAATAGATTCAGATGATGATCAGGGTGATTTCATTCGGTAGGAGGAGAGAAGAGAGAGGAGGAGGAGGAAGAGATGATTATTCCTGATTATCACTATCATTAACATGGAAGGAAAGAAAGTTAACCAGCGTAAGTTAAGATATTACCATAGATTTATAAGAAGATACTGATTGATGAGGGAACCATTTTATTGAACAACCGGAAGCCCTGAAGGATAAAGCGATATATTGAGAGAGAGAAAGAAATAAGAGAGAGCGAAATGTAGGAAGGCGTGATGACTTCGCGAGAAAGAGATGAGTAAATTCAATCTTCTCATAAGTACATCGTGGGTTCGCTAGTTTTTTGCTCCATTTCCTTTCATTTTCATTATTCTTTTAGCATCTTCATCATTATCAATATCGACTCATATCCCGCCCAATGTGCTGGTTTCATTGAATTTGCAAAGTAAAAAAAGCTCAGGGAAAACTGAAGCTCATTAGGATGAAGCCTAAAGAATCAGATGTAACCTTATTGAAGAAACTAAATCAAAACAATAACAGTTAATATTCATTATGAATATGTGATCATATGATTTAGTTAAACTTGATACTTTCTCCATCATCATTATCATTCTCATCTTAATTTATCTTCTCATTTTTTTTATCACATTACAGTTTACTCGCTTGATGATGATCATTATCATCATCATATTTACAGAGAAATACACTATTCATAATGATGATAAGTCTTTTGCAAATCATAATTAGTTTGCCTTAGGAGAAGAAGAGCTGATTCTTATCATCATTCTAATCATCATCTTCATCAGTGAGTTTGTTGAAACTCTTTTTCTTTTGAGTAAAAATTTATCATCTCTTAAGGATAAACGATTCGATTTACTATCAACTTCAATTTAGTATCTGAATGACAAAGAAGATGAAATCACTTGGAAGATGATGTAAGCTTTTGATGAGAAGAGAGAGAGAGAGAGAAGATGAAAAATCTCTTCTTATGAAAAGAAAGACAATAGATAAGGCGAAACTTTTATTATCTTCATCATCTTTAGAATCCATAATATATTATGAAGAATCGAGAAAATTTTTCCCTCGAAAATTTCAATTCATTTTTATGAACGAAAATCATTTTCCTGAAATTTTTATCGATTCAAAATTCTGATTGATTGCTGAATAGTTTAAATCTATTCATTTACAAAGTAACTACTCTCATCGTTATCATCATGATTAAATTTCATGAGATTCAAAGCTTGTTAGCATTTTACATTGTGTATGTATGGAAAAAAGGATCAAACCAAAGAGTTGAGATCTCTCATGCAATGAACCTCTCTGACCAAGTATGAATTTCATCTTGTTATCATGATGATTTTCCAGTGAAATTCTAAGCATAACCATTGATCAAAATCTTTTCCGGCCTCAGTAGAAGATGAAAACGAAAAAAGGAAAAAAGTTTTTCCATGAAATTTCAGGAAAAATCGGGAAAAAATAAGGAATTGATTTTCTTGTTCTTTCTCATTATCATCTTGTGAAACTTTTCTCGATTTTCCTTCAGCTCATTGTGATAATAATTTCGTTATATTTGAGTAGCAATTGTACAAAATACAATGAAAAAAGTTGCAATAGAGAAAGAAAAAGCCATGTGAATACCATGAAATCTATTTTTCAAGTTACTTTTTTTGCTCATGCAGATAATAAATACAATAAATCTGAGAGATTGAATCTGACTGTGGATACATGATGATGATCATGGTGATCAGAAAAAAAGTCAATACAATCTAAATATTAAATCCACAATAGTTTTCAATACTTTACAGAAAAATATCTTGTATTGAGTAACTCGAGACTTAAAGCAAAAGCCTTTGCAATAACATGTAATACATTTTCAAACTCAATCTTGAATTTCATGTTATCCTTGAATCTTTTTCTCAACTTTTATTATAACCCAAATAATGTCCTTTTCTCATAACAATTCAATTTCACAGTTAATGTACATTTGGTGAGATAATCTTTCAGAAATCAAGATTAAAACGGCGATAATCTCAAGTCTCTCTCTACTACACTTTCATTATCTTCTCTTAATACATTCAATTATCTAATCTTATTGTCTTAGTGCTCGACCTTTAAAAGCATATCTAGAGTGGTGCTTGTATGAACTTGGAAAGTTAATCCTAGCAAAATGACCAGAATGACCTTGATATTTGTGAATGTCGATTGAATTTCATCAGAATTACTATTATTACTTAAATCACTGACGACTTCGAATGTTCAAAGAAAAGTTATTTAGAATGAGAAACTTATGAAATGTCCTGTAGACTGTGATCATCATCATGCTAACGAAAACCTCAGGAACAGTTGACTTTGTATTAATTTCAATGGAAACTTCAATCATCCTTATCATAATTATTATCACCACATGGATGGTTTAATGTAAAGAAATGATTGTATTCATTTTGCCATATCAAATGTTGTAGATTAATATTAATTTAGTAGCCTAGTGATTAGTAACTGGCAGATGAACATCAGATTAGATTATCATCCTTAACTCCTCATTCCCTTGTCAAAGTATAAAGGGAATACTTTGTATTTGATTTGGTAAAATTGTACAAGATGAGTGAGAATTTTTCGACCTTTTCGAAGAAAAAAAGACAATGACAATATCATATCCAGGGAATCATTTCGCCAGAAAAAAAGTGTAAGTGATCTGTTCATTTGATCGCAATCAGTTATATTGATTAGATTCGCACTTAGCTGTTAAGGCTATCAAATGTTTACGCTTAAGTTGAATTGAAGAGTCTCAATGCGGAAATTGTTTAGATGATGAGGATGTCCAATGTAGCAAAAATCGCTTGGTGAATGAAAAATCATTTTCAGAATTTTCTATCATGAGTCTGTTTTTTTCTGCTTCATCTTCATCGCCGATCATCATCTTCTTATTGCTTTTCTGTCTCTCTCTCTCTCTCTCTCTCTCTCTCTCTCTCTCTCTCTCTCTCTCTCTCTCTCTCTCTCTCTCTCTCTCTCTCTCTCTCTCTCTCTATCCCACCTTTTAGCACATCACTCCCAGTTTGCTATTCCTTTGAGATAATAATGATTATATTGGAACAGAAAAAATCAGTAAAAAGATGAGGAAAAGTTGAGTGACATATGAGCTTCTTCGAGCAGAAGTGAGAAAAAGAGAGAGGAGAGAGAGGAGGCATAAGTGAAAAAACGAGGGACCATTAGAATAAACAGCAAAAAAAAATGATGAAGATGAGGATGGAGAAGACAAGACACTAACCTTGAAATCTTTCAATATGATTGAGCGAATGATGAAGATGCTCGAAAAAAAGAATGAGGCGAAAAACTCTAGTGTGCATATGACAAAGAGTAGGAAATGTCAGGAAATACATCTGAAAGAGGAAAACAATAAGTGTAGCAAAGTCATTTGAGGTCATTCGAGATGAGAAGATGGGAGAGCAGAGAGAGAGAGAGAGGAGGAGTAGGAAGAGAAGGTAAAAGTCCCATAGATTATGTTAAATGTCGAGGGAAATGGGATAATGTATTTGAAAGTGATTGAAGATAAATGTTGTGTTGGTGATGCGGTTCATGTTGGAAGGCGGGTGATGAAAATTGGGCAGAAATCAACAAGGACAATGGTTCAATGTAAATGTTGACTTTTTGAGACTTTTAAGATTAAGAATCATGGAGATTTAGATTAGTTTGCTTTTCATCAGGGGGAAAAAAAGTTCTGCATCCTAATGAAAATGAATAAGGTGAAAAGTGAAAGGATAATAATAATAAGGAATCTGATGGATACCAAGGAATGTAATATACTATGATGATAATAAGAAATCCGAATGATATAAAGGTGAATGTTCATTTTTACTAAAGAGAATCTTTTGTTGAGACATTTTTTTTTCTCCATCATCTTCTTCATCTCTACCTTATTCTTGGATTATTATTATTATATGTATAACGAGTTATTGTCTGGTGTAGAGGTGGAAAATGATGATGATGAAGATTGAATATAATGTGAACTGTGTAAAAGGTAAACTACTTCTGAAGGATGAGGAAGAGGAAGAGACATGATGTGAACTCATCTTTATAATCTTATCCTCTTGTACTATGAAGGGGAAAAAAGGTAATGAGATGATGAACAGTATGAAGATGAAGGTGAAGATGAAGATTATGGTACAAATTTTTCACCTTGAATGAGATAAATACACAAAAATATACGATTCCCATTTTCTCACTCCCATCATCATCCAGCATTCCCACTCTTACTCTCATTTTTTTTGTAGACAAACAAACAAAAAATAAACGATGAGCCTCGAAAATACATTCATCTTGATATTTATCATCATAATGCAATGAGTTGCAGTTCTGTTTTTCCTCTTTATCATCTCTCCATCATCATCATCATCATCTATTGCAAATCTTTCAAACAATTGAACTTCAGTATTTTATCATGTTGATTATGATGCGAAATATTATCATGAAGATAAAGAATGATGTTCAGTTGTGATTGTAAGGAGAATGAAATTTTCTGCTTCTCATCATGATGGAAAATGAAAAGTTTTGTTGGAAGAAAAAAACAACAAACAAACAAACAACAAGAAGAAAATAACGTTAAAAGGCAACATCATCTTCTTCAATTTTATCTTAGCATCAAGGAGATGGAGTAAACATCTGATAAAGATGATGAAGATGAAGTGGAAGATAACCAAACAACAGAAATGAAAACAGTAAACATTAGTAAGGAAATAGGGATGCGGAAAAAGATTCTTTGTTCAAAAGATGAGGATGAATGTTGTTCCTTGTCTTTTACTCTCTTACACTCACAAAAAAAAGAGTTTGTATTTCAATAGAAGACAAAAAGATTCTCTTCTCTTTTTATATATTCTTCATCTAGTGTTTTCTCTCTATGCATCTTCATAAGAATGTTTCGATTATTTCTCGTTTCCATCTCCATCTTCATCTTCATTTCTCTCTCTTTCCAAATTCCATATTGTTTTCTCTGTCCACCTCCATTTCTATTTCCACTTTCACTCCTCTTCTTTTGGTTAACCAATGTATTTGTTGCTTCCATAGTTCAATGTTGTGCTTTTACCATTGAACATCTTCTTGTTATTGACCAGAGAGAGAGAGAGAGAGAGAGAGAGAGAGAGAGAGGAAAACTTTTCTTTGCTGTACTTTTACATCTTGATGACAATTTACTCCTTTTCTCCAGTGTTTACATTTTTTTCTCTAATACCAGGTAACAGTTTTCATGATGATGAAGTATAATGATGATGATGATTATGATGTGAATGATAAATCAACTTGTATTCTTACCTGGAAGTAGTTCGATATTTTTTCTGAACCATTTTACTCGAGGAGATGGTTTACTTGGAGAAACTAAACAAAGTAGAATAACTTTTTCTGATTCTTTTGCTTCGACAATATAATGATCAGGTGATGGTGATGATGACGATGATGAAGTTGTTGTTGTTGATGATGATGGTGATGTTGGTGAAGAGAATGGGATGTTTAAATTATCACTTTCTGGTGACACGGATCCAGTTATTGTTAAACTTTTTGGTGGCACTAGAAAGAGGAGGAAGGTGACAAGAAGAAGATGAGTGAAAAAAAAAGATGAGAAAATAAGATGATGATCATCATGAGAAGGATGATAATGATTATGTGTGAGTTTGTATGTGTGTTCTGAGGTGGTATTTGGCTGAAAGGAGGGGGAATTTAAACTCAAGATGATAACTTTTATGTTTATGATAAAAGTGATGATCATGATGATGATACCTTTTCACTATTCAATTCAGATTCTCCCTGAATTTCATCAGTATTATAATAATGATCATCTTTTAACTTTTTCACCCTGATTATCATCTTAACCTTGACTTGTCTTTCTCTCTCTCTCTCTCTCTCTCTCTCTCTCTCATCTCATAGTTACACAATAGATGACAAAATGAGAATTTTTTAAGAACTTTTTCCTCCAATTCTGGTGAAAATTCAATCTGATTTCACAACGAGTTAGTGTACATCTTTGTCTATGATGATGATGGTTATGATGGTGATTATGGAAAGTAACGGTTCCATTGATGCTTTTTTTGTTTACTTTGATTTTGTTCATCATCTCATGAAAATTTCTGAACATTTTTTTCCTCCTTTGACTCTTTCAAAAGATGACAGAAAAAAATGTTTACTAAATTTGCAAATGATGATTGACAGTACATGATGATCATCATAACTGTCATCTTCATCCAGAACTTTTTTTTCTCGTTGGTTCATGATTCTCAGTTTATCTTTCATGAGGTTGTATATAAAGTGGATAAAATTTTAAATTCCAAAAAAGAAGGTAAAAAAGAAGAGCTTTAGATTCATTCAGAGAAATCATCAAATGCATCAGGAAATTTGGTTCAGAATATTTATTCATCATGTAAATGGGAGAGAAAGTAAAGGAAAAAGGAAAAGGAAAAAAAGTTCTGTCTCATATCAACATGATGATAAATGACCAAGAGTAAAAGAAATCACCATCATCATCATGGATGATAAAAGATAAAGATTACTTATCCAATCTTATCTAATAGAAACTTATTCCCTCTCAAAGATCATGAAGATACATCTCAAAAATTGAATCTACCATGAACCAAAGATAAAGTTCTGATAGATTCACTGAATTGAATGCTGTAAAATTAATTATATTCAAATGGTTCCAGCATATACAAAATGAAATTTCTGATTACTTTGATTTAGTTACACATTTTTTGGATAGTTTTTGATTTCTGATATGATAATAATCAAGAGCTACCTTTTTTCATCATCATCATCATCATCATGAACATGATATTGAATAAATAGAGTTAAACTTAATTATGAATATATAACTATCACTGATGAACACATTGTTTGAGCATGAAAATCATGAATTTCACATCTTCATCTTTACTATCAGAATCAAGTTTAATATGTTTTTGACAGGAACATTTTGTCAACTGAATATTATATTATATATATCATGTTATCTGAATCAACAATCATCAGATATAAACAGTGAGCATTTAGCAAGACAAAAACTGTTGACAAAAATACTAAAACTTTTTGTTTCACTTGATTCATGTTATGTTATCCTAATGAAAAGGAGGATGAACTTTAGGTATATATATTAATATACTATTATTTAATCAGAATATCATGAAACGATAGAGTAAGAAAATTGAAATATCATGCAACCTCTTGAACTTTTAAATTATCTTTTAAAATGTAATTCAGGTCAATTCCAAGATAATATTATATATAAATATGCAGACCAATTTGATAATATTTAAAAGTTTCAATATATTTACACATAAGAATGAATCTTTCATGGGTATTCAATACCTTGAAAATGCCTGGGGGAAGGTGAGATGTTGTGAGAAATGTTGTTTCATGAAATTCAAAGTAATACATGTATGTATGTATGCTGATATTATGAAGAGAAAATGAATTTTCAAGAAGAAGAAAAAATTTGTAAGAAAAGTCAAATATGCTCAGCATTTGATTCTCAGGATTTTTCAGACCTTTTCATGATAAAATCTGAATGATAAATAATGCAAATGGAACTGTAATTGACATTGAACAACAGAAGACGATGGTGGTGGAAAAATAAAGGGTGGGGTGGCCGAGTTTTACTCTTTTACCTACTCTAGTTTTTTATCCTTCTTGTTTCATTTCAACTCTTTTTTTTTTTGCTTAAATTTTTGTTCATATTTTGTTATTTCGCTCTTACTGCTTCTCATGATCTTCCCTGTATGGAAAAACAGTATCATGAATAAAATATGTGTACCAATGAATAACTGAGTATTCATTTCATTCATTTACTTTTTTTTCTTTCAATTTTATTTGGCTTTTCACTCATATATTTTTACACTAATGTTTACAAAGTTTTCATGATATTTAGCCTTCAAATTGTATCGATACTATCAATTGGTTGATTGACTTTTTTTGTCTTCCACTTATTTCTTGATATCTTGTTAAGTGCTACTGGATTTGTCAATTCTGATAATATCACTGGTAGGGGAATCTTAATCTATTAATTGTTTTCTTCTTCCATTGCCTACAAGTTAAAAGAAGACAATTAATATGAAAAAGAGATTAAGCAATTTAATAATATTATTACCTTTCTTTTCATGTTATATTGCTAATCTTTTATAGTTTATGTATTCACAATGGTATTTTTAAGCTGGTGAAGGGAGGGAATTGAATGTTTGGAGAAAAAAAGTTCTAAGAAGATCAAATCGAAGCGAACAGAATCGACAGAGAAAAAAGTTAGTTTCTAAAAAAAGAGACACAAAAGATTCGAAGGTGAAAAAAGAGGTAAAATCTTTTTAATATGATAAGTTGGAAGCGATTTGCAAGCTCGGTACATGTAGAGAAAGTATGACTCTCTCTCTCTCTCTCTCTCTCTCTCTCTCTCTCTCTTGGAATAATAGTTTTATTTAGTCAAATTGATGAAAGATATTCACTAAGATTGCATGAAGTTTAAGTTGAAATTGTTTCTCATTACATGGGAACGTAAAAGGCTCAATTGTTAGTGTGATTTAGAGTCATTAGGTGAGCTTAAGTTTACTGTTATTTTTTATTTGGCTTGTTTGTTGTTGCAGAGGGAAAATATTTACAAGGAAAAACTTTTCATTTGCTATTTTATTTTCCATACAAAGTGGATTTACTAGAACTAAGATCTGGATGTTTTGAGAGAGAGAGAGAGAGAGAGAGAGAGAGAGAGAGAGAGAGAGAGAGAGAGAGAGAGAAATCCTCATTTCACTCCATAACATGAAGAGGAACAATGTAATTGCCGTTTAGAAATAAGAAAGACTCAATTTCCATCTCTATCTAATAATATGTACACACAATGTCAAAGTAATATTTTTGTACACAAAAAAAGGTAACTATCAATAACTTTTCAGATAATACTAAACTCTTGAATTAAATTATTGTTTACATTGCAATGGTAATGAACCTGAAAATTGCTCTTTTTGCATAAGTTAAATGCAAATTCAGTGACAAAGTAAATACTTTTAATTGCTCATCTTAATGCAAGAACTGCAATTGCCACTTATCAGGTATAAAAGGGTAATGGTAACAGATTTGATATTGGATTAGGTTAGGATGATGAAAATTTGAATGATTAAAGCGGTAAAAACAGAAGATTGATATTTACCTATTACTGTGAGCTGTGATGAGGCACGAATGGGAAGCTGATTTTGAGCTGGTCCAACTTGACATTGATATTCACCTTCATCTTCAATGGTGACACTGGTTATCCTTAAGTTGTATTGACCGATCGGCGAGTCCGAAATCATCCGATAACGAGGCATTCCTGGGATAGAAGATTGAAAACCTGTGGAATATTTTTCCAATAAACATTTTCATATGAAAATAATTAACATTAAAATGTTCATTAATCATCATCATCATCAATATCGACCATAAATGGTGCGAGTTACCAGTTAATCAAGCAGAAATATACACAATACAAAATCAACGAGAAAAGGTAAACAACAACATCACAACAAAAGTAGAAACGAAAAAGTCAAACTTTAGAAAACAATTAACGAGCACTTTTCATTATCATGAACCATTATCCTTTCGATAATTACAATGGTACAATAATTAATCATTTTTTTGGAATAAAAAAACTCATAGGAAATTAGATGAAGAGGAAAAAAGTATGATGATGATGAGCATCAACTATTAGGAAATAATTACCTAACCTTTTGCATGGAAACAAAAAAATACTGATAACCAGAAAGAGATAAATGAAAACAAATTCATAATGAACTTTGTTTCAGAGTAAAGGGTTACTCAGAATTATCTGTTGGTGTAATGAATTATGTATTATCCATGGTGAAGAGTTCAATTCATTCAGTTTCCATAAGTTGATTCTCTCTCTCTCTCTCTCTCTCTCTCTCTAACCTTTCAAGCTCAGTGTTCTGGGACAGAATTTATCTTCACCTTCTCTTCATGTAAAACCTTTTAGTCTGTTTCCATGATGGTTCAGAGTTTCAAAAGTTCCGAAAAAAACAACAACAACCTCACCAAGAGACTACATTAACTTTTTTTCTCCTTTTTGACTCTTCTTATTTATAATAATATCTAAATCTTAGTTCGCAATTTATTAATTTGATTGTCTAAACGAGGTAAAAGCATTTAATTTAATCATCAAGCAACTTCGAGGAAGAAAAAACTTTCTAATCCAATAAAAGGTTAATCTTACTACGTTTTTGTTTTCATTATTAATCATAAGTAAATTACTTTGGTTAATCAAATTTCAGGTTAATTAAGAAATTATTTCAAATCAAGTGAAATCAAGTGTTAATTGTAACAATTTAACTCCAACATCAATGTTATTTCAAGCAACATGATTCAAATTGTTTTAATTGTTACTATTTCTTTATGATATATTGATGATAATTTCCAGTAACAATCAATGTCAATGTTAAACTTGTGCTAATTATTATTATTATTACATTTGATTGTAAATGATTAACGAAACATTATTATTAATATTATATGGAGGGAGAGAAAAAGTTTATCACAAAGTTTTAATTCATACAAATTAATGAGCTAATTATCTTAATGAACAGTTAAAGTGGAAATAAATAATAACATGATAATAATAATGATTAAAATAATAATAGTGTTTAACAATTAAATCACAATGTTAATGGTTTTGATGGAAAACAATAAAGTTAATGTAAAATTAAAGAGTTACAATTAAGCGTAAAGGTGTAATTGTTATCAATTAACTGTTGTCATGTAATATTCAATAATTGATTGCAATTAAGTTGAAATAAGTGAAAATAGTAATTAAAATTGAGATTAAAATTAAAAGAGGAAAACAAAACTTTTACTTGATAATAATGCTAATAATAAAAAAGTGATTCTTAATGATCACAATCAATTGTCAATGTTTAATTGTTAGTACTCGTGGTTTATGTCAATCATGGTGATGATGATGATGATTAAGCTTTATGCTCAATAGTTTTGAGACAATTTAATTGTTCATGATTAGCTAATTACCTAAAAGTAAACCATCTTTGGCCCATTGGACGGCACCGACTTGATTTCCAACATGACATTGAATCTCAGCGGTGTCACCCTCGATTATTTCAATATCATTTGGCTTAATTATGAAATATTGTTGTTTCGATGATGAAGATGATGAAGATGATGGAGATGATGGAGATGATGATGATAATGATGATATTAAATCCTCACTTGAAACAACAGGATGACAACAATATAAAACTATGATGATGATGATGTTAATACAAAAGTAAACCTTTTGATGATATAACAATGATAATTTTAATCCTTTGAGCTTTTCCATTGCACGGAAAAAACAATCAGATTATTGATTATTATTATTTATTTAAAGATAATTATCAATTATGATTAAATTTTAAACTCCAATTAAAGTTGATTAAGTGTTGACACAATTAAACGGTTCAAATCACTGAGTCGTTGATCCCGTTGATGGATTTTGATTAAACAATTGATCAATTATGATTATTTTCCTATTATTACAAAGATACAATATTAATAATTATCTTAGTAAATTAACACAATTTATATTAGCATTTAGGTCACTTTGATTTACTTTTAGACATTTAATTCACTTGCAAATTGTTTTCCACACTACAAACTAATCAACTAATTGCTGGAGAAACTTTTCTTTTAATTTGGTTGATAAACTTTTAACTTTTTTGTTTTCGTTCAATTTTTTATTAAATTTGATTTTATAAAAAAAACTTTCTCTTTTTCGGTTCGTATCATTAAAATGGTTGATTCTCTGTAACGTTGATCACATCGAGAAATTTAATTATGTTCATTGATCTAATCAATGTGTTAGGATGAATGTTCCAAATGATAATGGTGAGTAAATGGTTACCTCAACATGGGAACAGTCTTATGGCTGCGCATTAGAACCTAAGAATATATATGAGAATCGATGATGTGATCGAGAGGAGGCTAAAATGGAGAGAAAAAAAGAAAAGCCAAAAAAATCGAAAAAATTGTAATCAAATTCCAAGAGAAAATAAACTGACATCTATTGTGGAGAAAAAAAGTTTGTTTCGAAAAAAGAAAAAAAATCTCTGTTCTTTTTGCTCTCACCAGATGGCGAAACTTTTCTCTTGTCCAGGGATCGAATTTGTTAGTTCAAATTAGAACCACAAGATGTCACCCCAAACACATCAAATTCGAAAAACGAAAAGAAAATTTCAAAATCAAATCGAAAAGAAGAAAAAAAAAACAATCAACTAATTAATCAGAAATCAACCAATAAAAAAACTTGAAGCTCAATCAAAATCTAAATTGTGATTAGACAATATTGCGAAAACGCTAAAGATTAGCCAAGAAAAAGAAATGAAAGCAAAATGAAAAGTTCTAAAACTAATCTAATCTTAGATGCAATTGATTTGATTAAAACGATTAGCCAGTTAATCCCATAGGTACGAGTAACAGTTGACCGTTTAATTTGTTTTATATTCAAATGTAAGAAAGTTAATTGTAAAGTAGTTGAAATGTTTACCATTAGGAACAGACTGACCATCAGCCAGTTTTACATTTCGTACTCAAGTTCTGGTCCCTCCTCCAGATCGCTCTTGATTACGCCTCCCGACTACATATGCCACTTGCCCATCAACAGCATCATTCAAACGTATCCAATCAGATCATCTGAACGTAGAGAGTGAGAGAGAGAGAAGAGAGAGAGAGAGAGAGAGTGCAACTTCCATCAACACCACAATCTCCACAACGTGAACGACACCAACACCAACAACATCAACACCATTTTCCATTAAAATAATAACAACAAAATCAAAAGTTTTTCGCATAAGTTTTCAATAAGTTTTTGTTTCGTTTTTGTTTTTGTTTTTGTTTATCTTTTTTTTTGGTTCTTCTCTCAAATTCTGTCCTCTCTCAAATCGGAATATGTTTCAACCTTATTATTATCCGATTTTTATTCCTCGATTAAGTTCGAGTTCAAGTTTAAACGAAACAGCGTTAGACTTATCGTTCAATGGATCTAAACATACCATCAACCTTTGTGACATTAAATCGTTAACATCAACAGTTAATTCATCAAAATCAACGACAACAACGACAATAATTAAACCTTCACCAGCATCTCCATCATCACCACCATCACCTCCAACAACAGTTATCACAACGGGAACAACAACCAATAAACCCTCATCAATATCATCGTCAATTTCATCATCTCATTCATCAACACCATCTCCATCATCTAAAAATGTCATTACAACAATTAAGAAACCCCGTGAACGTACAATGTTACCTTGTGAATATTGTGGTAAAGCTTTTGATAGGCCATCATTGTTACGTCGGCATCTTCGTACTCATACAGGTAAACATATCAATCATTTTCCTCTCTCTCTCTCTATAAAATGTTCTAATTAATAATTCAAATTGATCTCTTTTCCCATTGATATTCACGTTGACATTCAGGTGAAAAACCTCATGTTTGTGATGTTTGTGATAAAGGATTTAGTACATCGTCTTCCCTGAATACCCACCGACGTATTCACTCAGGTGAAAAACCTCATCAATGTAATGTTTGTGGTAAACGATTCACTGCCAGTTCCAACCTTTATTACCATCGAATGACCCATAATAAGGTAAGACCTTTGACCCTAATTGACAACTCAAATTCTCCAGACAAAAAAAAGAACTGACCACTAGAACTTTACCAAGAAATTTCATATTCTTTTACCTTTTCTCTATCTCTCTCTCTCTCTTTCTCCCTGAACGTGATTACACCTAAACAAGAATATGAATTAATATGATATTATTACATCATGATCATTGTTTAGATAATCATCTCTTGATTAACATTAATTGCAACAGAAAGTAAACAAAATAATTTAATTGGTGCAATTTACTTACTATAAGTTTTTCATTGTAAAAACTTTATCATTTTTCATTTACCCTCATAATCAAGTGCAAAGATAAGTTAACTAAATTAACTGATCATATCTTTGATTATCATGATAATATGTATAAATATATTTATAAATAATCATGTAAATGATGAAACAATTATTCGTTAATGATAATATCACTAATAATATTTACTTAATTCTTATGAATCGTAATCAAATTATATATCAAATTCATGATCAACTACCAACACTTAAAATAGTAAATAAAAAAAAAATGTAATTATCTTTTACCAATGATAATAATCATCATCAGGTAGCTCAAGTAGTAGAAGTAGTAATCAAATTAAATCGTTAATCACATTAAATTAAAGTCTTAAAGCTCACATGTATATAACATGATTACTAAATTAGATGCATATGATTAGATTTTAATTGTTGATATAATTTTAATTTACTTTCAGATGTAATTTTCATTGATACAGAAAAATAGTGAAAAATATTCACTTGATTTGTTGATTGTTATGCTTTTCTTTGTGTAACTTGGTTTCATTGCCAACAAGTAAACAGGTAAAACACACACTCAGGTAGATTAAAGGTAAACTACATTATGATGATCAGAATTGTTAATCATCATGATGATTAAAGTGATTATTGTAATTCACAACTCACAATATGAAAGAGCTCAGGTTAACCTTGAGAAATAATTTTCTCTCCTCTCTTATCCAGAGTATAACTTTTTTCTTATTGTATATTAATACCTTTACTTTTATTTTCTTCAATAGTGATAATTACATCTCTCTCTCCATCTTTTTGCCTCTTACTGTACTTTTCGAGTTACAAATGTTGTCCAAATGTTTTGCATTCATTTGATGTACTTTGAAATGCAATAATTATTTCAACCATTGATTTAGCTCAATTGATATTATTATTGATTCATTTGGGCGTTTGCCTTACCTGTCTAAATGCTGAGCGATTTCAAGTTTAAAATCAAACAATTTTCCAAGACCTTTATTATTAGTATTTCCAATTGAAAAAAAAATGATACAACAATTTGATTTTTCTTCATCAGATTAACATGATATTGAAATTGTTGATTTTTTCTTCTTATTTTTAATTGTTGGTTTGTGTGTTCTAATCCAATTCTAATCATTTGAAATTGAAATTTAAAGGCCAATGGAAGGTGAGAATTGCTGATGATTTTTAGAAATCAAGAGAGAGAAAGAGAGAGAGAGATTAAGGGCTGATTTTATGTTCTCTCTCCTTGGATAATCTTTATGAACCTGAAAATGATGAGGATGAAGATGAGGATGATAAAATTTTCCTTCCACACCAGTAGCCTTGGAGGTCGCCTACATTTTTTTCTGATAAATGGATAAGTTTGAATGGATATTACAACAAGTTTCCTTCATTGATCTTAAATGATTGTTAATTGTTGCTTCTAGTTTTTTTTCCCAGACCAATTAAGTCTTAATTAGTACACGATTTAACTGTTGAATAATCAACTGATTATCAAGCTAAAGTAAGAAACAGAGAGAAGGAGAGAGAGAGAGAGAGACTTGTTTACTTTGTCTTCTCTCTTTCTCTCAATATCTTATTTCTTGTGCATTGATTTCAACGATTATTTTTGCATGCAAGTTCATAGTGCAAATATATTACCAGTATATTTGTTGAAATAAATCATTTAATTACCACTATCATCATCAGGTAATCAAAGAAAAACAAAAAACTGTCACGGTTTCATTCAATTAGAAACTCTCATTGATAAAAAAAAATCTCAAATGAATGAATCAATTTTTTTTCTTCTTCTTTGCTTCTGAGAAAGTGATGATTCAGATAAACTGCTGATCATGATTATCATGTTTTCACAAGATTAGTTAATCCTTGAATTGAGTTCTCATCATCATCATCACCAATGGGACTTTTCAAACACATCTAATCATCACCATTATCATAATCATTATCATCATGGGTGCGGGATTGAAATTATAAGCTCATCAGATTTGAGAGAAATTTAAATTTGCAGTAAACAAAAAAATGACGACTTTCTCATTTTCTATTCTAAATCATTTATCGAAAATATATTAATAATTCAAGTAATTAATTCGCATAATGATGATGATTATGTTACTTTACAAGTAATCAGGCACGTTAATATTGGCCTAATGATCTTAAATGATAATTATAATCAATCAGAATTGTGAAGGATTGAAAAAAGAGAAAAATTTTTCATGGTCAATGAAGGAAGAAGTTGAGAAAAAAAGTTTAACTGAAAGGAGAAATATTTAATATTTCTAAAGGTAAATCGTTTTCGATATCGATTATTAATATTACCAATCGATAATTTCAATCAGATAACATGAAAATTGTTCAGTAATCACATGAGCGATTGAATGAGTTTTCTTATATATCTCTCTCTCTTTCATTCTCTCTCTGCCTTGTTTCGAGAGTCAAGCCTAACGATTACCTTTTCTTTACTTACGTTTTCCAAGTTACCTGTTGATCATATTACGCACTTTAATAGCGCTCATTGCTTAAGGCCTGATGAATTATCTTGCTCTTTCTTTTCCTCATCTTCATATCTCTCTCTCTCTCTCACTATTTCCACTCCTTCAATCTCTTACTTTCTCTCCTCCCAACTTATACTCTCTTTCTCTCTTTTCTTTACTGATACCTTGTCTATCAATATTCTCAAGGTGGAAAGCACCTAATTCCACCTTTAGCTGTATTGATGAATGACGATGATGGAAAATTTTTCTCTTTCAAACCGCTAGATTATTAATCAGCTCATTTCTCATGATTTTTATCATGTTATACAACTGAAACATGATTTTTTTCATCTTTTCTCTCTGTTATTTTCTTTAACAAATTCTCTCAATTTTGATTTACGTCAATTGTACAATTCCCTTCACCCACCTAAAGAGAGAGAGAGAGAGAGAGAGAGAGAGAGAGAGATTGCGATATTTTTAAATATCGTTTTGCATAATTTTCTCCTCTTTCAACAGTCAATCACTCCCACAAATCAGCTGTAAATGAGATAAATTATAAACAAATCATCGATATAATAATTATTACCTTTTTATTTTTTGCATCTGCATGAAGAAAAAAAAAGAAAAGGTTAATAAAGAAAAGTGATAAATCTCATTGATGCAAACCCGATGATAAAATGTTAACGCAACAACGATGGCGATGATAATTTATAGCTTTAGAACTGTAATATTATAAGAAAACAAAAAGAAGAATAAAAAAAACGAGAACAAGATCAAAATGATGACCACAAACAAATACCAACTGACCATAAAGTATTGATAACATAAAATTGCAATCAGAAAGTAATAATGATAATCTTGTGGTTACATAAAAAAATAAGATAAAGATCAATAAAAAAACACTCACCAGGTAAGCAAAAAGGTGAGATGTTGAGAGGTGTGAGAGTAAATAAATATAATTTTATATCAGGTAGCAAAGAGAGTGAGAGAGAGAGAGAGAGAGAGAGAGAGATGATGATGATGATGAAGATTACCTTGAAAGTTTTGTTGTTCATCAATTTCAAATTTACAGGAAGCTCTTGAAATGAACAATTCATAAAAACTTTTTTTCTTCACCATGATAAAGATGATTATGATTACCTGGAAAATGATAAGGGTTATTATTGTTGTCTGAACACCATAATAATTGATAGCTTATATTATATACTCAAAGTGCTGGTCAATTTTTTTTCCTACCTGATTTTATGTTATCATTATCAATGATTATCTATTTTATTTTTTACTACAATTAGATATTGATCAACAAACGGAAAGCAATTTAATCAGATGATTTTTTTTATTCTCTATTTGTATTGATATACATTGATGGATATTTATTTTATTTCTTATTGATGGTAAACAGAATTATTATCCACCCTTATCCTCTTCATGGTATATAGCTGAGAAAAAGAGAGAGACTAGGGAGTAGGGAGGGAGAAGAGAAGAAAATTCTATTTTCAGATATGAGATGATGGTGATTATCATGATGGAAGAATGGAGAATGAAAAAATTTCCCTTTCTTAGTTTTCTTCTTTGGGACAATATTACACGTACAGGTAGATCTTATTACTAACACCAAACAACAATCATCATCATCATCATTTTTTGCTTGCAATTGGGAGATGATGATGATACAGATGATTATGTTTATGATGATGATGATGATAAAGGTAGTAGCAAAGGTTTGCTAGATGATAAATTGAATCAAGATGCTTTTTCTCATCATCGTGAAAGAGATGATGATGATAATGATGATGATAGTAGTTGCTATTACAATTTTTCTCTCTCCTTTTCTCTATCAGTAGAATAGAAAATAATTACACTGTTTCAAAAATGACCCTCTCCCACTTTCTCTCCCTCTGTCTCTCTCCTTGAAATGTAAAGTCCAGTAATGTAGTAGTAGTAGTGAGAAGTACTAGAAAATTGTATTTTAATGGTTCTAACAACAAAAGGTAATAGAAAATTGTAACGAAAAGAAAAGAAAGAGAAGAAAAATTTATAATAAACTTTCATCTTCCAAGACGAAAAGGTGACCACTGTAATGATTTTCTAGCCACTAATATGTTGCAATCTTATTCTTCTTGCAAAATAGATCATCTCTCTCTCTCTCTGTAATAATATCATGGTCAGTAATTTCACCTCAACCTTGCACGCAACTTGTACATCAATCTTTACCTTTACCATTGGTTTCAAGTGTCAATACCTGTTGTTGTAATATCCTTTTCCATTAGTCTTACTTGAACCACACACAATCATGATTAAGATGTGTTCACTAGAATTTGACAAAAAGTTTGAGTCATTTTTTTTCCTCTCTCTGATTGTTTACAATTAATTAAATTATATCAAATGAAAGTTCAGCTATTCATCTACATTCATGAAAAATTTCAAAAAATTCTGATGAAAGGTTTTTGAACAATTAAATTTTGAAAAAAAATCGCGAAAATCAGAATTTTCACCATATTTTCGGATTAATGGCTTTTTAACGAGAACCAAAGGTCAATTTGATTTTGAAACACCAAAGATGCTCAGAGGCAATGATAAAAACCGTAAGTTAAAGGTTATCATGAAATCGCATATTAAAATACCTAATTTAAAATTCTGACCAAACGCATTTCTCTCATGTTAATTCTCAGAGAATAACATAAAAATTTTGAAAATTTGGGAACTTTTTCAAAATTTAATTGTTTAAAACCTTCATCAGAATTTTTGAAATTTTCATGAATGTAGATGAATAGCTGAACTTTCATTTGATATAATTTAATTAATTGTAAACAATCAGAGAGAGGAAAAAAAATGACTCAAACTTTTTGTCAAATTCTAGTGAACACATCTTATTATGATGATGATGGTGGTGGTAATGGTGATGATAGTATATCCCAAAAGTATCAGGGTGCTAAAAATGCTACTTCACCTTGCACGTTACATTTGAGTTTTGTTGGAACTTTTTTTCTGTCCGAAAAAGTTATCAGAACATTTCAAGATTTTCTCTCTCTCTCTCTCTCTCTCTCTCTCTCTCTTTCTTTCTTTCTTTATAAAAATCTACCTGTATCTCTGAGAGTAACCTCATTCTCCTTAAAGCTTGCAAATTGATCTCACTACCTCCCGATGATATCATAAGATTCATCATCTTCACCCTTAGGTTTATCATCATCATCATCAAAATCTTTCTTACCTGTTACTTTTTCTGGACTTGTCACATTTTTACTTTCATATTAATCATATTTATCTTCTTGATCCAATGATCAAGATGATTTTTCATTTCATCATCATCTACACATAATGTATATACATACATATACACACACACAAGAAGCATTAACATTCATATACCATTTATAATCTAGATTCATTTCTTTTATGATATTTGAAAGTTTTAGAAGCAAAAAAATCACCAAATTTGTTCATTAATCAAATAAACAAATTATCGTGAAACAGGTAAGTCTCATTAGTCACTTAGTAGCTCTTGAGTGAGACCATTTTTCAAACCTACCTGAACATAAACACACTCATATGTACACCTAAAGTTACCTGGATTTATGGGGATGAAGAAGAAGGAAAAAGAAATGAAATATTATCTGAAAACATTGACAAACATCATTTGCAACTTTACCTTTGCAATTTATCATTTCAAGTTTTCACCTTTATTGCAATTTAATCATGTTACTTGTATTACTTACAGATTAACTGGATTAATGGGTAGAGAGAGAGAGAGAGAGAGAGAGAGAGAGAGAGAGAGAGAGGTCAAGTCCTAATGTAAATAATGATAATCTCCAAGATTTTGCATCTCTTGTTGTTTTTCAATCAATTTAATTTATTTTAAATTGACCTAAATTGTGATATTGTTAATCTAATGATGATATAATCATCAGTCATAAAGTTAGCTTATATTGCTTTTGAACACTCAACGATAATATTTTTTTTATTGGTCATACAATTTGATACAATTTCAAGTTACCCAATAATAATAAGATTTAATATATTAATCTGTACAAAGTGAGTGTACAGAGTCAATTGTAATTAACTTTCGTTGTTATTAAACTAATGGTTAACTATTAGTTTGATTCAGTGTTTGCCATTCTCATGATTATGATTAAAATTGGAACTAAGTTTCCAGTTGAAACTTTCATCATGTAAGAATAAATTTTCATTTCAAATGTATTAAAATCTATCCAAGAAAATTTAGATTAGTAATATTTTTCCTTAAACAATTACAATTAAGCTCATATAACTCATATGATTTGTCCATTTCTCTGTGAAGATAATTATCAAAGTAATTTGATAATCACATAATGGAACCAATATCAATTAGAGATGATTAATTTGGAGAAAACTTTGAACAAGCTTAACAGTTAAAGTTTTTAGAACTTGACAATTAAAGTTAATTATCTCTCTTTCTCTCTGTTGATATTCTTACAGGAAAAACCTCATAAATGTAGCCTGTGTTCAAAATCATTCCCAACCCCAGGCGATCTCAAGAGTCACATGTATGTCCACAACGGTTCTTGGCCTTTTAAGTGTAACATTTGCGGTCGTGGTTTTAGTAAACAAACCAACATGAGGAATCACATGTATCTTCATTCAGGTAAATTCAAATTCTGTCCCAGAACGAGAACTGGAAACTTGACCTAATTATTGATAATCAACTTTTCGATAACTAAATTGATTGAAACCTTTTACTTTTTCAGGTGATCGTCCTCATGAATGTAAAATTTGTCGTAAAAAGTTTGCCCTCCCATGTAACCTGAGGGCTCACCTTAAAACCCATGAGGAATCAACTGCAACTGAAAAATGTTCCAAGTGTAATCGTGAATTTAAACTCAACTCGGGTTCTCTGGTATTAGGATTTTGTCAAGATTGTTATCGAAGTACCAATGGAATACCTTTACTAAGTCATAAGCTAAGTAAACATAAATAAAGAGTCAAACATGATTGAGTTTCAATCCAAATAATTCAGATAATAATTGATCAGAATCTTCATGATAACAATTTTAAAGTAATAATAATCATCTTCATCGTCACAATCATCGGTATCACCATTACCATAGTCATCAACCATCAATCTAATTTAATTCATGGACTTTATTTTTGTCGCTTTTTGTTAATATAAAAAACAAAACCCACTCTCATGGACCAATGTGGTGACCTAACCCAAGAATAAACCTCAACCATTGATAAGATGTGAGATCCTTATCAAGATAATATAAAGATGAACAATAAATAAAAACAAACACCAAAGACCTTTGACCTTCCATCTGATGGACTCTCAGCACGTAGAAAAAAAAAGTTTGGACAAAGTTTCGACAAGTGTATGTGACCATTAAGGATAATCGAAGCAAAAATAATCTCCAGTGAACTTGGAAGATATGAAAACGATAATCTTCAAAGAAGAAGAAGGAAAAAAAATGAACAAAACAAATACGAAGTTTGGACATGATAATGAAATCGTAACAGTTTCATTTCCGTTTCTCTTGAACAAGCGAAATGAACTTTCAACACTCTAACCATCACCCACCACCTACTCAATCACTCATAACACACACACACACAAACACTCACACATACACATAAACACACTCATGAATTAATGGTACCTCTTATTTTTATTTCGTCACCTTGAACAATTTTCTTGTCCCATAAAAGCACCAACAGCGAAAAACGAGCGCAAACTTTTGAAAATTTCTAGTAGATTTTTTTTTCTATTCTCTATTTGTATTTTATCCTAAATACTATTTTTTTCTGTATTCAAATTATGTTCTAAATACTCTTGCAAAAATGGTTAATCCACAATTTAAATTGTAAACTCAAAGTTTTGAAATTAACGAAACAAAACGCAAAGAAAAAAAGAAAAAGATAAAACAATTGACCAGTGAAAACGAAAAAGAGTCTGAAAAGTTATTATCGAGAAAAACTTTCTATTAATAATATATCAAGATCGATTTCGCGCCAAAATAAATGACAAAACAAGGAAAAGGGAGAAATCCTTTGTTTCTCATAAGTGAAGGGAATATGAAGATGAAGATAAGAAGGAGGGATGAAGATAAAAACAGAACAAGAGAGAGAGAGAAACATGTAACTAATGCATAGCTGATGTGTCTTCGAGTTAATAACAAAATCATCAGCACTGAACGGGAAAAGAAATCAGCACTTAAACAGATACTCACTCACCACTAGCACGTTACAGCTAATGAGATGTTATCAGCGATACCAGGCAAGCCTTACAAACTGTTTGTCAGCTTGTACTAGTTGATATTTCAGCTGCTCCTGTACTGTCCCTTACTCATCTTCATCCTTATCTTCATCTTCATCCCTCTTTCTCTTTCTCTTTCTCTCTCTCCTTTTTTTACTTATTTTCAACTCACTTGCTTTTTTCTCATCTCCATCGATTGACCATTATCATTATATTACTTTCATTGATATTAGTTATTAGCTAAATTGTTATCATCTGTTTCAACCGATGCCGCACACACACACACACACACACACACACAATCAATCCCATTGATAATATATTGCGACCCAATGTCATTAAAAAAAAGTAGCTACTAAAAAACCCGATACATAAGATTCAGGGATAAAAAAGTTCAGCTGCTGCTGTTTACTACATGATGAGCCTGGTGATATGTTGATGGTGTTGTTGTTGTTGTGGGTTGATGCAATTTCCATTGATTGACTATTTGCCATACTAATTAACTACAAGATGATAATGATGATGATGAGAAACACAATTGATTCGTTAATGAAAACGCAGAAAACCACATGATCTCAATAAGAAAAAGAGTTTACAACTTATCATTAATCGATCAATTAGAACGTAACTGAATAAGAATCCACATTGAACCAAGTTCAATTTTACTTCTCTTTTTATCTTACATATTACAATAAATTAGAACGAAACTTTTTTTCTAATGAGAAAATTACTTGAAACCAATAAGAATCGTCCACAAAACATTTTCTTGTTTTTCTTTTCCCATTCATACCCATGCTGATGATAATCTTTCGCATTACTTATGAATACATCATAAGAGATTAAGGATGGATTATGATGGTTAAATCTTACAAAAAGAAAATGTTAATCAATGTAAATTATCATCATCATTTTAGTCTTTTCTTACTCTGACGTGATCGTAATTCTCATCATCCATTGTAATTAATAGTCTTCGCGAGACTGTGGTGATTTAATTGGAAGCAACAATTTAACATTGACATTGGAAAAGTAAATTATGGTTTTCCATTTTTCTCTCATAGTCTTACCTTGCCTTACCTTTTTCTTTCTCTCTCTCTCTCTCTCTCATTCTTGCAACAAAACCATCAAATCTCATCAGACAAATACGCACACACTCAAATTATCACTATCATTATCATCCTAATCATCATTGAGTAAATATGCAAAGTACTGGGTAAAAAAAAGAGGAGGAAATATCTTGATTTCGGTGATAATATCATAACATTTTCAATCAATCAAAATTGTAAAAATCTGCAAATCTTTGCATATAAATAATATCATATTTTTCAATCGTAGGTAGATATTGATATTTATGTGTATTATTATTATTATTATTATATTATAATCAACGGTTCTGTTAATCAATGCAATCAACGCCTACATAAAGTATGTCAATAAAGCAGAAAAATATTATTTGATTGAAGGTTAATAAGTGATCATTAATATGATTATTATGGAGATAATCATGATTGTTGGGTAATAATTAATCAAATTTTATTCAGAGGATTAAAAGGTTTGTAAACTGTTGCTAATCCATTGATTAAGAGTCAGAAATTGTGTGAACAACGAGACAAAAGTTATATTAACTGACCATTGGAAATACAAATCAAACTGAATGTGATTAATATCGTAATCATTATCATCTGTCCATTGTCTGTGTTCATTGAGTAAAAAGTAATTGTTTACCTGAGATAATGATGAAAGATTTGGAAGATAAAAGAAGAAGAAGAAGACGAAGACGAAAAATGGAAGATAAAGTTTCTCTCTCTTTCTCTTTTTTATTGTGGAAAAAGACACTCATGAGATTTTTAATGTTATCTCTTTTGTGCTTTTCTCTTTCATTTTTGCCCGAGGGAAAAGGGTGTTACCTGGACAGAATAGGGAGAGAGATGATGAGAAGATGAAGAAGGGATGAAGATAAGAAAGTGAATGTTATCTTACCTGTGTAATGGTTAATTTGTTAACTATTGACTTGCAAAGTTACTCATTATGGGATTAGTGGAATAGAAAACAAAACAAAAAAAAAGTCAAGGTGAAAACAAAAAGACATAATTAATACTCTGAATACTTTGCCTGTAAGAAAAAAGGTTCAGCCATAATCTATGTGAAAATAAACTGACCGGATGTTGATTATCAGTTTATCATCATCATCATCTTTTAATAAGATCTTAAGATGAGGATGATAATGATGACCAATTATTACTATTTGGGTAATTCTGGTGAGAGAATTTAATAAACTGAAAAAGAAGAAGAAGAAAAGTTCTGCTTATTATATTATTTGCGATATAATTTAATGAACGTTGACATCAAGGTGAAAGTCAATGAGACGCTGAATGGTAAACCCGAAAGTAGGACGATCTTTACAACGATCGTTACAACAAACGTTACTATTAACATATCTTGTATCCAACGAACCTGGAAAAACTAACAAAACGTAAATTAATGAGAGAGAAAGACAAAATTTACCTGAACAACAACAATTAAGATTAATTCAAACATAATCAAATTTGCCCTTGGTCAAGAGCAGTAAACAAAAAAAAACAGAAGCACCAAAAAAACTGATAATGATAATGATGCAGATGAAAATGCCCTTAAGGTATAATTTCATTTCCTGATTAACCGGAAATGAGATTTAATTTGAATTAACTAGTACACTAAATATATAATATATAAAATGGTCTGGTCATCATTTTGCATCTTCGTCTTCATCTTAATTACCATTAATAGCGTAATAAATTAACAAGAACCTGAGTTATATCTGTAAGATTTTTTTTTCTTCACTTTCTTTTATCCATAGGTTAATAGCATCCATCAGGTAAGAGGATGATGATGATGACCATCAGAAGAAGATGATAAGATATCTACATAAAACACGAAGAGAGAAGAAAATGATGATGATGATAAAAAAGAAGATACTGGTTCTAATATCGTTACTAGAGGTCTCATGGTACACACGCATAGAACTAAAATATTAAGGTTACAGTTTTCATCTTCTCTCTCTCTCTCTCTCTCTCTCTCTCTCTCTCTCTCTCTCTCTCTCTCTCTCTGCTTTCTCTCTGGTCAGTGTAGAGTTTTTTTCTTGGGAAAGCATTGACGATACGCTTCGTCGATTTTAATGCCTCAGGCTATAAAGAAATTTTTTCTCTTCTTCTCTTTCTCCCTGAAAAAGTGAGACTCTCTCTCTCTCTCTCTCTTCAGTATATTACCTTGCAATAATCTGAAAGGTAAAGTATCTCAGGTTTTGGATGATTCAACTCTCATCATCTTTTATCGTTTATTTTTCAGTTCAATCTTAATACCAACAGGATGGAGATGAAGGTAACATGATTCAAAAAAGAGAGTGAGAGAGAAGAGAGAGAGAGAGAGAGAGAGAGAGAGAGAGAGAGAGAGTTAAGTGAATATGATATGAATGAGAATCAAAAAGAAAGAGAGGGAAAGAGAGAGAAAGTGTCATCCTCATCTTTTTCTCTTACAAAGATGATGATCGCAATTTCATGTGTGTATCTTTACCTGTTGAATGTAAAACATGTAACATGTTTTTCTTGTTGATTACCTGTTATTTTCAAAGATTTTGTACCTACGAGTTAAGTGTAATTATCTATAGTTACCTGTAATAATAAGGTTGATATTATTACCTTTTTTTTGTTGTTGTTCATACATTTTGTATACTTAAAGTTTTTCATGACTACTAATTATGTGTCATGATAAGTATAATATGATAGGATGAGCAAAGTATTTATATAATAACTACTACCTTTGAATAATCAACTATTCAAAATAAGCTCAAAAGTTTATGTTTTTTTTGTCTTTACCATGTAAACCTTTTCCCCACTGGTCAGTTTTGTACAATAATATTAACAACAAATACATGGACATTAATAGTATTAATAGTTTGTACCCATAATCACAATATACTGGTACATATGATAATGATAATGATTAACATGGTGATTATGAGGATAATGATTGTTGATTAAATTACAATTAAGTCAATTTAATGGTTAAAATAACCCACATGTAAAGTTAATCATAATTGCTGTTTGACCAATATAATGGTCAAAACTAAGTGTGCTCATTACGGATCTTGACCAATGTCCAAGATTACATTTGAATTTACATTTAATAAAATAAAAGAAAACTTTTTTTCTCTCTTATTACTTTTATATATTAATAATAATAAAAAATAAATTGTCACCCTTCATTGATTAAAATACAGATTCAAGGTAAATGTTGACACCAAGTTGATTGTCCCGTTTGTTTTTTTTTCATTTCATCTCGTACTTGTAACAAGTGATTCAACTCAACCGTGCTACTGGACAATAAGTGAACCGTACGTTAGTCCAGTTTGGCTAACAAGTGGTTAATAGTGTACACACATAATAGTAAAGGTAAACAAGTGACAACAGGTAAGAAAAAGGTAATACAAACAAGTAGATTCATTCATTAATAATAATAAAAGAAGAAGCTTCAATTTCAAGTTGATTTCATTGTCTTCGTGGTTTATGGTTAAGTGACCAAGCGAATCTAAACTGTTGTCATTTGGCTCACTATCATAATCATCATCATCATCATCATCATCTCTATCATCTACAGGCCATTTCTTTGTCAAATGTATCCGATGTTTTATCTCGAGCTATTAAAGTGTCCATTTTATCAC